AGTGAGATAATGAAGAATTTATTATTTTTATTATTGCTTTTTAAATATAACATTTAAATAAATTTTTTACTATTTAATTTTTAATAATGACTGATTACTAGCCATTAAATAGCTTGGAAAAGTCCTGAAATTTTAAGCTGGCTCTCAGGAACTATTATAAGCTGGTGCAACACTGAGTTCCTCTGAGTCAACTCCCAGGCTGGTCTTGAGTTCTATCTTTCCACATAGTGATTTGGAAGGACCCTAGCTCATGCTCACGCCACAGGCATCTGTTGAGCACTTGGGATGCTCTCTGTGGTACACACTGGAAAATTCCCCGCGGGTTCACACTCTCCCTGCAGAGTCCAAATGCAATGGCATAATTTAGTGCAATCCTTTTTCAATGTAACTGAAGTATCCATTCACCAGTAAATATTATTCAATACCTTCAATGTCCTAGGTTCCATTTTAGACCAACACTGGCAAACAAAACCAACTGAGGTCTCTGCTCTTTTATGGCCTCAATGTTTCCAACATGCTGTGGCCACAGAAATTTTGAATGGGAATCATGGGTGGTCTCATCTGCCCTAGATATTGAGGAAGGATCTGTAGGAAAGTGTCAAACACAGAAAACGGTAGAGTACTTCAAGACCAGGGCATAATACACACAAAGACAAAGAGGGTTGAAAAGTTGGCTTGAGGGTCAGATGGAGTTTGTTGAGGAAGGTGGTAAGAAGGTAGGGTGGTGTCAAACTGGGGAGATAATTCATATAATGTCATTAATCAGTTGTTACTTCTTAACTATACTGCTTCATCCTGTATTACACTGTGTTCTACTTCATACTTGTTATTCTGTTCTTTCATTGGATTTGAGGCATGTTATATGCCTATTTTCAAAAGACTGGAAAGCCCTTAAGGAGAGGGATTGTTGTACTTCTTCCAGAGAACAGGGCACATATTGAGTGATAAAGAATGTGGAATTAAATTTTTATCCCTATCTCCCTTTCATTTCTATCCCAGTTACACATATAGATAATTGGCCTGTAATTTCATTGGATTTTAATTAAATCTTGGATCAAAGAATATGGGAGAAGAAGAAGAAAGGAGGAGTGGGTCCAGAGAGAATGATTTCTCTTGCTGTTTTATGTTTTATTAACACTCAGGGAATCAATAATCAAAGGCCCAGGTTGTTCTGATCAATGTGTGGGTTTCAGGAAATCCTCGGATGCTTAACTCAGAAGCATGAATTTTCCTGCCAAATAAAGTCACCCTCAAAGACCTCTGGTTGGTTGCAAGCAATAACACTTTGTTGTTCTTTTTCTACCCTGACAATTACTTGTCTGGGAGCTTATGAAACTCTAAGAAGTAAGGAAATATCATTTAAATTTCAGATAGGGCCCTCCTCTCCATTTACTTTCTCATTTTCAAATGGGAAGGAAAGGAGAAGGGAATCATACTTGACTTTCTTTGTGTTTTTGATGTGTGTGTGTGTTTGGTTTTTGAGAGAGGAAGGAAGAGAGAGAGACAGAGAAACCTTACTTTCTCATTTTCAAATGGGAAGGAAAGGAGAAGGTAATCGTACTTGACTTTCTTTGTTTTTTTGGTGTGTGTGTGTGTGTGTGTGTTTGGTTTTTGAGAGAGGAAGGGAGAGAGAGAGACAGAGAAACATGGATATGAGAGCAATACATCAACCAGCTGTTTCCCTCATGTCCTGCACCAGGGATGGGGTCCACAACCCAGGCATGTGCCCTGACCTGGAATCAAACCTGCAACTTTAGGTGTGTGGGAGGACACCCAACCAACTGAGCAACACTGGCCAGGGATCTTTCTTGGTTTTATTATGACTAGGCTTTTATGAAAACATGACAAAGGACTACATAGTTTTTCTGTTGTTATTGTTTAGGACAAGAGGGAACCTATGTTACATGTAGTTGGGAACATTTTAAATGGATACATCTGAATGCAAATGTATATATGTGCTTGAGAGGGAATTGGCAGGGAAAAAGAAAATAAAATCTGGAATTTTGGAAGAATAGCTGTGGGATATTAACACAGAAATGAACCTTGACCTTTAAAGCCATTTTCTTGGTTGTCATCTAATTATTTCAGTAATCCCACTGTGACCCAAAACATGCTTTTAAGCATATAACATCCTTCACACTCACCCCAAGCCAGTGCCCCTGCCACATATATAGTTTCATACTTTTGGAACCTAGAATCCACATTTGATAATCCACTATATTTTTCTACATTGGACTCCATAAGACTTGGAGTTATTTCTAAATCTAAAAATTTATTCTCTAAGTATGAATATTTTCCCTCATGAGGAGTATTTGAAAGAACATGTTACAGAGTTTTGGGTGCACATAGGGATGCATTTCTATTTGTGTGTGTGTTTTAAACATTTTTGCATCTACATTTTGCGGACAGTGACTATGGCTATGAGAGACATGGAGAGAGCCAGTGTGTCCCAGCTTTCTGGTACAATCCAGCATCTCCATCAAAGGACTGCAGCCTTGGTCAAAGCTACCTTAACAGCACTGGGTAAGTAAAACAACCAAAGGAATTCCACTCATTGTTTTTGTGTTTCTGTAAGTTGGGATGAAAGGGAGCATCACTGTTGAAGCAGGATGGAATGTAGATAGAGTTTGTTTATATAGTCTCCGGGGAAGCCTGAGGAGATCTTTAGCTGAGAGTAGCTTTTTGGGAACATCAGAAGAGATTTCTGATTACCCAGTTTCAATATCTTTTGCATTTTGACAGACCATAGCTATTGTTTTGATTAGGCTTTCTCTTCTAGAAATACTGTGATTCCATCTGAGACAATAACTACATACACCATTTGCCCAACATCTTCATGAGATCTCTGGATGGAGAGTATGGCTAGGAGTTCAGCAATTGGGGGGGGGGAGAAATATCAGATATAATGGAGGACTGATATCATACGGAAGAGTTTGGTTTCATCTGCTTTTAAAGCCACCAGGAGAAGGCAATATGGATGGGTTGATTAATTACTTCTAATATCCAGGGAGAAACAAGACATAATGTGATGGTGATGGTGGTGATGTTGATGATGATAGTGGTGGTCTATTTATTTTATGTGGTTTTCCCAGCATGTTGCTTTAATGCAATTTAGAGATAATGATGTGCCTCGAAACAAGTCCGTTGTGTAGGTCATGGCTCTGGGCACACTCTCAGCTTGACTTCAGGTGCTGGGGTCTGTGGTCAAGAGAGATGACATGGCATCACTGTGCACAGCTCGTCCTTGTCCTAGAAGGTCACAGTCCTTGTGGGAGGTCTTTCCATGCTCACTTTTCTGAAATCACTTTACCTCAATTGGGCTGAATAGGAGTTTCAAACTTGTGCTTCTCATCTGGTATTTGTGGTAAGAAATGAAATAATAACAAAGAGAAAATATCCCATAAGATATCCCAGTGGCTCCAGAGTAAGGACTGTTAGGTGTTAAGCTATGGAATGATGCCCTGGTGGTGAAGGGGAGACAGGAAGAGGCTTCCTGATTAATCAGAGGCAGAAGTCTCATCTTCTAGCTGCTTTCTGGTACAGGGGAAACTGGGGGTGGCCTCAGGGAAGTAGAAACAAGTCTCTCCCTCACAGAGATCAGCACCTGCTTTTCCTGCTTTCATAATCCAATGGGTCTGCCTCCTCCTGTCTTGTATGTGAGTCAGACATTGATTTTTCTTGGCTGCTTTAGACACTGATCCGATCTGTGGCTCACCAGGTAGGATCGATAATAATGTTTAAAGAGCTACTCTTCCTGAGATGGAGGGATAGCGGCTCCTCAGCATTTATTTAGCTTCCTAAATGGCTGTCTTCTTTGAGACTCCGTTTTGAGGAGGAGCTGTGCGCAATGTCTGTCTTGCTCTCTTGCACGCCTTCTAACACACACGCATACAATCCAAACCACACCACTGACAATTGCCAATGCTCCTTAGGTACCGGCGGATTGTGTCCAACAACTGCACAGATGGGCTAAGGGAGAAGTACACCGCCAAGGCCCAGGTGTGCCCTGGAAAAGCCCCTCGGGGCCTCCATGTGGTGACGACTGATGGACGCCTGGTGGCAGAGCAGGGGCACAATGCGACCTTCATCATCCTCATGGAGGAGGTAGGTGCTGGCCAGGGTCTCTGAGGTCATAACTCACAAGCAGACCATTCCCTGTTCTCTGAAAGGGAAGAGAAAATATAAATCCTGTATTCAGGGCCCTGTATGAAAGTCAATGCAGCCCTGGCCAGTTTGCCCAGTGGTTAGAGTATCAGCCCTTGAACCAAATGGTCTCAGGTTCGATTCAGATCAAGGGCACATACCTGGGTTGCAGGTTCAATCCCGGCTCAAGTCAAGGGCACCTTCAGGAGGCAACCAATCAATGTGTCTCTTTCACATGATGTTTTTTAAAAAAAGAAAGCAAGTCACCGCCGAGAAGCTGAGATTTCTGGGAGAAAATAGAAGGACCAAAAGAGGGCTTGGGTGTTTAGAGACCTCCTTCCCTTCATCCAGCCACAGGGACTCAGACTGCAGTCTTGCTGCTTGTCTCTCACAGAGCAGAGCTGGTCATATTCTCTGAGGTTCCTCTTTAGGCTCTGCTTTGCTGAAGGAATGTTTATCACCATAAGACCATATACTAGAAACTTCGCCAGAAGAAGGGAATTCAAATTTTATCCGTTGCCTTCAGGAGCCTCTTTTACTTCATTGTAACCCTTCACCCCCTAATTAAAAAGCCCATGGGGCTTTCAAAGGGACTCCACAGTATGAGTGTGAGGGTAGTGGCGGATTATTGAAATCCTTTCAACTTACCTTTATGAAAAATGTCATATTGGTTGCTTTTCCATCAACTAGCTGCTCCATTAGTTCATTTTTTGTGTCTTCTGTAATCTGGGCAGTAAAATCAGACTAAGTTCATTCATTCCAGGATGGAAATAGCTCTGCTCCCTGCTTCTTGCTCCCTATATGAGCTATTTCATCTCTTCTCAGACCAGGTTGGTTTTCAGGCACTCCTCGCTGAGATGGTGGGGGCAGGAAGGCTTGCCTGATTTACAAAGCCCTCTAAATTTATATGCAAATTGCTCTGTGCTCTTGAGATCTTGGAAAGAGACCAAAGCAGGTCAGGACTTTTGTGTGTGTTTTTCCAGAAGTGTGAATACTTTAGAAGCCTTGAAAGTCAGGCCCACACTGGACAGGATGGTGAAGTTTCTTTATCCTGGCTGACAGACTCCTCCGCTGTCACCCACACTGGGTGCTAGAATTAAAAAACTTACAGATTCAGAGGAGGTCATTATCACATTTTCACTAGGGAGTTTCTAGGACCAGAGCTATAAAACCTTCTCTTGAATGGATGTGAAGAGCCACGATCTTATCCATTTGAATTGCATCCAGTTCATTTCCACTTTAATTTATATTCATAAACTCAAAGGTAGTTGACATTGTATGTGGGGCAAGGGAGCACCTATCAATATTTTACTCACATCTGAGTTGCTATGAGGGAAGAGACAGAAAGCGAAAGTATGATGGATGCACACTCACTGGGTGGAAGGATTGGCTCATAATTCTGAAATGATGCATTTCTCTTTCCATCCCATCAACCATCTTTGTATATGAAAAGAGATCCGGTTCTTTTTCATCTATTATTCTTGTTTTGTGGTCAGATTCAATTGCATTTATCCAGAATGTTGGTCTAATGTGGAGAGGAAGGGAAAAGGAAGGATGGGGTTGAGCATTGGCCCTTAAGAAGCTGAGCATTGGTTTGGGGACTTGGGGTGGCAAAGATCCACTCACCTGAACCATTGATATCACATTACCAGACAGCAACCAGAAGACTCTTGTCCTTCTCACAGGCAGAGGTATCTGTGAGCCGGGAGGGCCAGAAAGTGCTTCAGGGAAGAGGGGGCTTCGTTAGGTTTAGGGACATCCAAGGTCAACAGAGCACAGATGTAATCTTGGCCAGTGTGCAGTGCTAATCTACAGAATGGAAATAAATCATCTTACCTCATAGAGTTATTTTGAAGGTGGTATTATATAATATGTGCTAAATGATTAGCATAATGCTCAGACCATAATAATAATTACTAAAAATCTGAACAATTATGATGCTAGCATGGTGGTTGAGAACATTAGCATTGATACCAGACTGCCTGGTTTAAAACCTGGCTCTACCACTACCAGCTGCAATCCATTTGTAAAATGGTGACAGTAGTACTTTCTACAATATGGAGTTGTGAGGAAATTAAATGTTTGGAATGGAAAAGAAACCGTTAGCTGTTATTCTTATTGCTATTGGTATTACTGTGCCACAGGAAAAGAATCATTAAACCATGTGTGAGGTAGCCAGAGTTGCCTAGAGTCTCTATCTTCTCTATTATTGCCAGTGTCACACTAACCCAGCCTGACCGAGCTCAGGCACACACGAGCAACAGATCCATGGCGCCTGCCCACAGTGCCCAGTGGATCTCAGATAGGAGTCTGTTGATCGTGTTCATAGTGTTTCGGCCCCCCTGGGGGAGACTTTAGGTTTTCAGAGGGTGATGAGGAAGACACAGGAGAAGCATCCGAGATTAAGTCATGCTGGACCATGTGATTGAGCTCAAGCCAATTGCTGTTCCTTCTCGCAGGGCGATCTCCAAAGGACGAACATCCAGCTTGACTTTGGGGATGGGATTGCGGTGTCCTATGCTAACTTCAGCCCCATTGAGGATGGCATCAAGCATGTGTACAAGAGCGCAGGGATCTTCCAGGTGACGGCCTATGCAGAGAACAACCTGGGCTCGGATACAGCTGTCCTCTTCCTACACGTGGTTTGTAAGTAGCATGAGCCCTCGCCTCTCTTGCTTTTCTCCGTTGACAACTCCCTCTGTCCCAAACTTCTGGGATTCAGAGCTGAGACAGGATCTGGTGTGACTACTACCCTAAATGATGGCCCGAGTCAAATGATTGCGATGTGTGCTCATCTGTGTTTCAGAGTTTCCTAACACTGAAGTAGATTATTTCGAAAGTTTGGATAGTGTATTACCAACTGGCCCCTCCTTTTCAGCTCCACTTTGTTCTGATGTAAGTGTGCACATGCAGACACACTTTGAGGTGAAAGCCCCTTCCCTTTGTGATCTGTGTTGGAAGAACCAAAGAATGGTTTAGAAAACACACATTTAGATTTTTTGAATGTAGAACTGAACACGCAGAAGACCTTAATGCTTACATCTAAGGCCACTGGAAGTTCATTCCTGTTGCAAAGCATTCTAAGAGATCTCCAACATGTTTTTGCTGTCCAAGAATGTATTTCACTGCTGTTGGCTGTTGCTTTGCCCAAACCAATGCAACAGCTGAGTTCTGAATATTTTGTTTGTACTGGATGCATTTTGTGTATTTGCTATCTTGCGACTTGACTCATGTAAACTGAAACAAATATTATGATTTTAGAATGTCGGGTTGAGGAAATGTTATGGGGCTAGTATTGGTTTCATAAGTCTCTATCAGTGCTTCTCATGGGTCTAAGGACGTCTGTGGTTTTTACTTATACTCCTCACGGTGTTTTTGGAGTAATATGCTGCATGTGGTGAAAATGACACGTTTTATGAGTCTAAGTGAATACAAGGAGCACCTTTCCTAGCAACAACTCAGTGATGACATAAATGCCACTATACAAACAAACTGCACTTAAGAGGCCCCTGGCAAACAGCAAGCTAGCAGGTCTCCGAACATTCTAATCACAATAGCAGTACAGGGACCAACAGTAACAGGGGAAGTGCGTGGGACGAGGAGGAGACCTGGATTGTAGCTCAGTTATATTCCTAAAGATGCCAGGCTACGCGGCCATGAGATAAATTATTTCATCTCTTAGTCTTCTGAATTCCCAGTATTTTTTAAGTTTTTATTTATTGATTTGAGAGAAAGAGAGAAATATCAATTGGTTGCCTCCTCAGGGACCAACAGTAACAGGGGAAGTGCGTGGGACGAGGAGGAGACCTGGATTGTAGCTCAGTTATATTCCTAAAGATGCCAGGCTACGCGGCCATGAGATAAATTATTTCATCTCTTAGTCTTCTGAATTCCCAGTATTTTTTAAGTTTTTATTTATTGATTTGAGAGAGAGAGAGAAACATCAATTTGTTGTTCTGCTAATTTATGCATTCATTGCTTGCTTGCTATATGTGCCTTGGCTAGAAATCGAACCTGCAACCTTGGTGTATTGGGACAACACTCTGACCAGCTGAGCTACCTAGCCAGGGCTGGCTGAACTCCAATTTAAAATGGCTTAATTCTGACTGGTGCCTTGTTTCACAGGGCTCTTTTAATAGTAAATAGAAAGCACAAATTAAACATCCATTCACTAATTTATTCAATAAATATTTATTGAGTTCTGAATCTTTGCAAGGCACTCTGGTAGGAACTGGGGAGGCAACAATACAGATATGGTCCTGCCCTTACAGAATTCACATTTGGCGGGGGAGGGGTGGTGGTGGTGGTGGAAGGGGGATATGCTAGGAATGGGCCATCAATGGCCCAAGTGGTGATAACCACACCACACCAACTATAATCAGAAGCAAAGCACAAGGTCAGAAACTCAGGCGGGTGGTGTGCAATGTGTTCATGAGCCCAGGGTTCAGATCAAGAGAAACCTACATTTGAATTCTTATTATATCCCTTTGTTAAATGTCTAATATCAGTCAACTGTCTTGGTCTTTACAAACCTCTGATTCCTCATCCTTAATACTTAAATTATAGAGAGGCTTTAAAATAAAATTGGTTATGTGTATGTCAGGGATCCCCAAAACCACCCCCAGGTTTGCCAATTCCATAGAGGATTCACAGCCTCAGCTCCTAGTCATACTCGTGACTATGATTTATTACAGTGAAAGGAGACAAAACAAGATCATCAAAGAGAAAAGGCTCATAGAACAAAGTCTGGAGGAAACAAGACACAGGTTTCCAAGAGTCCTCTCCCCATGAAGTCACACAGGACATGCTCAATTCCTCTAGCAATGAGTTGAAGCAATGTGTGTGAAAGGCTGTCTACCAGAGAAGCTCATTGGAGACTCAGTGTCCATGATTTTTATTGGGTTCTGATCAAATAGGCATTCTTTGCCTAGCATATACCAAAAGTCGAGACTCCCAGAGGAAAGCAGGTGTTCAGAACAAACCATATTGTTGGCAAAACAGTCTACACACTCTTATCAGTTAACTGTTGACTGGAAACACCCCCAGGTCCAAGTTCCCAGATGCTAGTCAAGGACCAGTCTTACACACAGATCTTTTGAAAGATGGCAATTTCAGGTCTGTTCACACATGTCTGCACAGTGTGCAAAATGCTACTTAGCACCCAGCTTGGCACATGATAAGTGTAACCTGTGATAGTAATTAGATTTGACTTTGGAAAAACACAGGGATTAAGATGGCAACCCACTGTGTAGTCAAAAATCCATGTATAACTTTTGACTCCCCCAAATCTTAACTACTAATAACCTAATGTTGACCAGAAGCCTTATGATAACATAAACAATTGATTAACACATATTTTGTATGTTATAGGTACTATATACTGCATTCTTACAATAAAAAGTAAGAGAAAAGAAAATGTTATTAAGGAAATCATAAGGAAAATACATTTTTCAGTATTGTATATATTTATTAAAAATTTATGTATGAATGGGCCTGTACACTTATGTCTTTAATCCATTTTGAGTTTATTCTTGTGTATCATATAAGAAGGTGGTCTAATTTCCCTTTTTTTTTTGGATGTATCTGTCCAATTTTCCCAACAACAATTATTGAATAGACTATCTTTACCCCATTGTATGCTCTTCCTCCCTTGTCAAATATTAATTGACTATAAAGGTGTGGATTTATTTCTGGGCTCTCTATTCTGTTCCATCGCTCTATATGTCTATTTTTATGCCAGTACCATGATGTTTTGATTACTATGGCCTTGTAGTATAGTTTGATATCAGGTAGCATGATTCCTCCAACTTTGTTCTTCTTTCTCAAGATTGCTGTAGCTGCTCAGGGTCTTGTGTGGTTCCATATACATTTTTTTTTAATATTTGTTCTAGGTCTGTGAATTATACCATTGGTATCATTATAGGAAGTGTTGAATCTATAGATTGCTTTGGGTAGTATGGGCAATTTAATGGTCTAAAGTCTTCCCATCTCTGAACAGAATATATGCTTCCACTTATTTGTATCTTCTTCACCTTCTTTTTTTCTAGACTCATAGATACAGAGAACAGACTAACAGCCATCATAGGGAAGACATATCATGGGGGACTGGGTGAAAAAGGTGAAGGGATTAAGCAAAGGGAAAAAAAAACCCTCATAGAGACAGACAACAGTATGGTGATTACCAGAGGGAAAGAAGGTGGAGAAAATAGAAGAGAGTAAAGGGGGAATAAATAGTGATGGAAGGAGACTTGACTTGGAGTGGTGAACATACAATACAATATACAGATGATGTATTATGGAATTGTACACCTGAAACCTATATAATTTTATTATCAATTTCACCCCAATAAATTCAATAAAATTTGTAAATGGACCCATATAGTTCAAAACCATGTTGTTCAAGGGTCAACTGCACTAAGTTCTTCTTATTCACCTTCTGCCCAACACTTCTCTGCATTTAAAAATGAAGACAAAGAAAAAAATTTACTTTAATCCAAGGACCTGCCCCACCCATGTTCCTAATTGTGGCAAGAATGGGCCTTGATTGCAGCGGGCAAGACTGATGTGTCTTAGTGACAAAAAAAACAAACAAAAAAACCCCCCACAACATCAAGGAACAGGTTTATACTGTGGGTTATGTGCATGAAGGAGGAAATGTTCCTTGAAACTTTTATCGTGCTCATAATTCCCTCCAAATCAATCATGGCTGCATTTACCAGACAGTTATTATAGTGGAAACTGCTGTTGGCCTCACCTTGGGCCATTAGCTAACAAAAGTAGTTGTTAGCTGCCCATAATAACCAATCTCGCAAAGATTATTAGATTTTATCCAAAAGAGCCCTGTTTGACAGTGACCGTTTTAGGTGTGTGCCATGCTCTCTCCCGAATCCCTTCAGCTCTCTTCTCCCTGCTCTGTGGTCTGTCTCTAGGTTGAAGCCTGAAGCTTCTGGTTCAGGCTCTTTGCACTAAATAGCTACTACCTGTTGTTGTTACTTGATATTATATTTACTTAAATGTGAGGCTGGAATGAATGGGACCATATTTGATGGTGTTGTAATTCATGGGAGCCTCATCTTGTTGTGTATGTATGAGATTAGGGAGAAGATCTCCTTTTGTCTCCTTGGGCATCAAAGTCTCCTGGCAACGTAAGCCTTGACCCCTGAGTGACTGCAGGCTGACAAGAATATGTAAGGCTACAAGTCATAGTGGCCTTATCCCTTAACTGTGAAAAAGCCCAGGGTTCCCATGAGCTGGCCAGGGTAAAGGGCTCTGGGCCATTCTCCCTTGAGGACATGAGGATTGAGGGTCAAGGGGAAGAATGAGGGGTTTGCATCTGGGCATGGAGAAAGACGGAGGAGTTAATGTAAGAAACAGATCTCTCACTTCCCTCCTTGGACATGAACTGGCCAGGGACTCTTCCCACTGCCTCATTCTCTTCCCCATTTATCAGTAAAATGCAAACAACAGAAAGAGATAAATCAGGTAAACTCCTAAAAATGAGTCTATAAAGCAGTGAAAGTAGCCAGTGTTTTCTCAGACGATGTGTTTTTTATTCTCATTGACAATCAAACCATAAAATATAATTGAACAGACTTCCTTATTGAAAATAATTAAATCTTTAGCCAAAGGTGTATCTGAAATGACGAGGTTCAAATTATTTGCTGGAAGAAATCTTGATGTGCCTTATATCTGGGGTCAGGTCAGAGAGCTGTAGGCAGAGAGTATGTTCAGGGTGTAGATACAGAGATTCTTGAAACCTTGTTGACTGTTCAGGAGGGTATAGTCTGGACCAATGGTCGCTAACTGGTGGTCTGTGAGGTCCAAAAAGTTGGCGACCACTGGACTCTGGACAATGGCAAATAGACCTGGTTGTTCTTAACACCCAAACATCGGTCCATGTCCAAACACCTTCTCCCCCAATGTCAATTTACCTACAACACAGAATGTGCCCAGTGAGACCCAGAAGGCTTCCCAGTGTCTTCGGAGGGAAGTCTACCCAAAGATTCCCAGAAACAGGGGTGCCACGGTGGTCATGGTGGGCATAGGAATAGTGCCAACCTATAATCTACTACATGGTACTTATAACAGCCATACATTGCCTTCATATATTCTTATTTCTATAAGGAAGGCAGGGCAAATATTGTCTCTTATTTTTAGGACAAAGTAATGGTCTATGTAGGACAAAACTCTACATAGATGCACTAATCACATAGCTACATTTGAACCAGAGCAGAAACGGAAAGCATCCATCTGTTTTCATGTCATTGTTTTCCGTTTAAACTGGACTGTTTCCAATAGCGAAGGCTAGGTGGCCGGAAAAGTGTCCCACCTCTGGGAAACACTAAGGTCCCCAGGCTACAGGTGTCCTTGCTGCAGTTGTGACCTTTAGTCATTTTCACCAATCAAATCATGGCAGTGGAAACTGGGAAACGGTGCCCTTAGTGTGAACAGATAATTGGAAGATTTTAATTGGATTTGATTAAGTAGGAAGGATATAAGGAAGGGAAAGGAGGAGGAAGGAAGAAAGGAAAGGAAAGAGAAAAAAAAGAAAGGAAGAAAGGAAGGTAAGAAGGGAGGGAGAGAGAGAGGAAGGGGTGAAGGTGGAGGAGAAAATCCCAAAGACAGTTAAATAGCATATCTACCCCACAGATGCAACACTAGCATATTAACATTTTACATTAACATTTTCTGCTCATTTTGGGGAGGAAATGAATTTAATTAAAATGCTCATTTATTATGCACAGAGTGTGTTCCTGTATGTTCTCTTAGAACTTGATTCTGCTTATCTCAGTTTTCTGAGGGGAAAAAAAATGTTTGGTCAACTTTTTGCAAACAGCTTTTTCTTATTATTACTTGGGGGCCTGGCATTTGTTTCTCCTTCAGTTTAGGGAGATGGGCTTTTTCCATTTTGTTAAACAGCCTGGTGGGCTTCTGAGTGACACCCGCTGAGTATTGCAGATAACAGGTACAGTGGCTCCTGGTTGAAGAGATGAAACCAATTAACAATTGAGGATAATGGAAGAGCCCTCTTTACAATGCATTGACCCTGAATCACTATACAGGCTAATGGTCAGAGATGAAACTGACTACTGTTTTTCTTCCTATCTGTTGGCTCAGTGTCTAGTAAACTAGCCTTGTCCTTGGATTTGAGTTTCATAAGCATTTCTGGTTTGGCTCCCAGGCTAATGGTCAGAGATGAAACTGACTACTGTTTTTTTTTCCTATCTGTTGGCTCAGTGTCTAGTAAACTAGCTTTGTCCTTGGATTGGAGTTTCATAAGCATTTCTGGTTTGGCTCATCAGATGTAAATTAAGTTCAAATGTCACTCAAACAACCTAAGCCTGATTTGATGATTTGATTTGCCTATTAGAGGCAGTTCTTCATGTTCAAATGTCACTCAAACAACCTAAGCCTGATTTGATTTTCCTGTTAGAGGCAGTTTTTCATTTCAAGTATACACACACACACACACCTCAACATGTGTGAGTTTGTGAACCTTGTTTTCTTATAGGTCAAGGTAATAACGGTTAAGAATAAGACTCTGGGAGTGTGATAACGTTTGTCTGTTCATTTCAGGAATTTAAACACTGACATGGTTTTCCTTGTTCCTGTAGGTCCCGTGGAGCATGTTCACCTCCGTGTCCCATTTGTCGCCATAAGAAATAAGGAGGTCAACATCAGTGCAGTCGTGTGGCCCAGCCAGCTGGGGACTCTCACCTACTTCTGGTGGTTTGGCAACAGCACGAAGGTTCGGCCCTTTCTGCCTTGTGTCTGATGCGATCTATACTGAGTGCTCCTGGCTCCAGCTTCGGGGTTGATGTCAGGGACACTGGGGATGTGGGCACGAGGATGTACTTTCTGCAGCTGTGAGTCCGCATAATTGAATATGACATTACTCTCTAGTTCATTATAGCAAGGAAAGTTCAAATAACCCTAAGGAAGAAAGAGTACTTTGAGAAACTATATAAATCTGGTTGTTCTTGCTCCTGTGATCAATATTTCTAAAACTTCCTTTGCTCTGTGTGTTTTAATCCTGGCCTGTCCACTAGCTATATAATATCTCTGAGATCAAGTAATCCCATTTGAAAAAATGTGAATTAGATATTTCAATGTAAGGCTATGAAGAGCAAATGGGGCAGGGCAGTGCATGCAAGAATCCTTATCAAGACCTTCTAGGTGTTCTCGAAGGCCCGGGTTCTTCTTAGGCATGGCATTGATGTCACCAAGTCACAAAGAAAGGCACTAAAGGGGACTTTGCAGCTACTCCCTGCTCCCAATCCCTAGTAGTGGTGTCAGTATATAAAAAAGCACCACACTTGTATAACAGAATCTGGGAGCAATTAGGCTGAGGGTCCCTCAATTTAGGGGCTTGATGTTCTTCTCTGCTCATGTTTCTGTCTGCATTTTCCTTTTTTGATGTGATTGGCATTGCTTATCTTAGGTCTCTACCTTTAGTTTTTAAATACTTTTAAAAAGCTATTCTATCAGACTTGGAAATGCTGACTATCTAAGAAAAGGGCTAATACATATTCATTTGCTGGTGTAGTGATTCCTCTGAAACATGAATGGGGCAATGCTGTTTTTGTTTGCTTGTTTCAAGATGGCCAAGGAGAACTTCAGCCCCTCCCTGACAGGAGTCAGAGGGCCCCAGGTTAGGATCCAGCACTGTTACATGCTGGCTATGCGAGTTTGGTCGAGATAGTTGACCTCCAAGCTAATTCACTCAACTGCACATTGGAAATAATAATACCTGTGTCATTTTGATTATTGTGCAAACTAAGTAAGAGAATGTGTGTCTCCCTGGCACACACTAAGTATTCACTAAATGGGTGCTTTTTAGTTTGTCCTAAAAACTGGGAGTTAGACTGGTTTGATAAAAGATTGAACTAGATTCATGGACCAAGGGCCTGCTTTCTCTTTGCATTATTTGTGCTGTATTTTCTTAGATACATTTCTTAGCCTAGGCTACTGATGTTGTGCATTTCTGGGATTATTACTCACCAGGCAGTGGGTAGGGAGGTTTGTTTAGAAGATCCCCGCTTAGTACAATAGAGAAAGGCAGCTCCCTGTGTGAGATGAGCACTCCAGAGCCAAACAGCTAGTTGATTGTAGAGTCAGACCTAAAACCCCGGTCTCCTAACTCCCACCTACCACATACCGCCCCCTCCCTTAGCCACAGGATGCTTTAGCTGCATCACTCCATTCCATAGAGGTTACAGACCTTACAATCCTACCTCAAAAGCCAGCAGTCATGCAGGGTGAAGGAAAAATAAAACATCATTTGGGCAAAGAAAGTGAGAGTGAGAAGAATTTTAAGTTCATTTCTCCTGTGATGATGTGAGGTTTTGGCTGTCAAGCCAGGGAATTTATTTTTCTGTTACTGCTCATTTACTGATGATTTTTACTGAGAAACTGCTGTGTGCGAGGGGTGCAGTTCTTGGTCAATATCAACACAGCGATTTACTCAGCAGCCCACAAGGAAGCAAACACACAGTATTTCTCTACCATTTTTTTCTTCAAGTGCTGATTCTAATACCTGAGATACCAGACAGTGTCTAATACATATTTGATAAATAAACAGAAAAGTGGACAAAGGGATTGGAGAGCCTAGTTTCAATTTCTCTAACGATTATCTTTGGTAGCTTGAACAAATCACCTGTCTCTTTGTTTGTTTTCTCTAAAGTGAGGATACTAATATGTAATCCATGAACACCGGGTTACTATTTGAAGTATCTATCTATCTAATCTATATAATGCCATATTATGAGAGGGACATTGTTAAATTACAGAAAGAGATTATAGTTTTTTAAATTTATGATTATGTGAGGCATTTCTTTGGTTAGGAATTATTCATCTATAAATGTGAGCATGAAGTGCTGCCCAAATACCAAGATCTCCAAGGTCTTACTAGTTTATTTTTGTTCCCAAAGAATCAAGAGAATGCTAATACATAAGAGGCATTAAAATAGAGTAGTTTTGAAATAAGATAAAAGTGGGTTAGAGTCCAGACTCAGATTCTTGGCTGTCTGCCTTCAGTTAAATCTTATAATTTCTCAGGACCTCAGCTTATTAATGGTAGTGTCAGAGTTAATTGTGGTAGTAACTATCCCCTACTATTGCTTTGAGAGTCGAGAGAGGCTTGTAGAGCTCTTAGAACACACCTCATCACATGAAAATGCCAGTCACTGTTGGGTGTGCTCATCATTTGCATCAATAGCCTCTCCATCTCAGGAACAAATCTGATTTGGTTCCACGGATTTCCCTCTCACCTCCAAGAACGGCTATGCAGTCCATTTGAAAGAGATACATTTTCAGAGCTTTTCCTAGCACCATGCCATAAACACATCAAGGTGGCCCCAGTATCCAATAATTAATCCAATGAGCATCATCTTTGGCTGACAAATGATGAGTGCCTTTGGTGTCATGGTGAGTGCTCTGATTTTAGAGCCATTTCATCCCCTTTGACTAGAAAACTGATCTTTAAAAGGAGCTAATCCTAATTTTAAGTCTTTATTCCTAGTACTGCTTTGTATTAGTCCTTTTATACATACTATTTTATTTATTGGAACATCTCTGATAAAAAAGTAATCCCATTTTACAGAGAAAATAGGCTAATACTCTTGGAAGGCAGTTTCATGTGTGTGTGTGTGTTGTGACTAGGTGAATTAAACAGGTTGAATTAAATCATCAATAATAATCAGATAATACCCACTCCTTTATATCTAGCCCTGTGTTTGGTGCCCTTAGGAATAAAAGATCCCACATAGCATTGCCTCCGCCTTCCAGGAAATTATATTCCACAGAGAAAACAGGATGAACACACGTGCAATGATTGGTGGGCAAACGTGAGATATAAGGAAATAGAAGAAAGCAAGCATTCCAGAAATCCTAATATAGGCTCATATACGAACCTATCAGCAAGAGATGTGGAATTGAATCAGTAGCTCTATGGCTCTTTTTCAAGAACCTATATTTTGTGTTACATGTTTTGAGGAATATAAGGCGGTGTAGATTCCAATCGTTGCCTCTAAGAAATATAAGCTGTAGTTGAGAATATGAGGTTCACATCTAAGAACAGGTACTCTAAGGTAATAGATATTCTAAATACTGTAAGGTAATTAGATACTACAGATAAGGCACTATACTAAAGAATGTAATATTCCTGGCCCAGTCCAGCAGCCTAGGAGGTGATGGACACAGAGTTTGCTGGTTATAGAATGAGTCCTGTGTGAAGTTGTTCCTAAGCAGGCATTACAGGAGCAGCAGAACTGAGGCAGAACTGAGGAGGGAAAGAGATTTGCATGTAAAGGCTTTGGGCATGGTTGTGTTCTGTGTAGACAGATTCAGACAACACACAGGATACATGTATGCAGAAACCAGAGAATGAAATGAAAGGTGGGAAGGCTAGATAACACGTGACTTTCAATAACATAAATAAATGCTTTTTATTTTTTCATAGAGACTCAAATTTAGGATAGAATAATGGAAGCAAGAATCAGGTTCATGGACAGTGAAACTTTAGACACTGAGATACTTTTGAAGAGTTTTGAGCCTGTGTGTGTGTGTGTGTGTGTGTGTGTGAGGACTTTTTTTTCCCCCAAAATAAATTTTCACATTAACACCATAGTCACAGATAATATTCTACACATATTATTTTGCCTTATTTCTTCCTGTTTTTGTGTGTATTTTAGATATTTTACATAATCCTCATCATAATATGCCCAAATTACATATTCTGCCTTTTACACTTTTTATAATAAGCATTTTTTGCACATTACTATGTAATCAGCTGAAGGCTTTAAGTATATTTATTGCGTAGTCTGTTCAATTTTGGATGGCCGTTTTCATCAAGGTATACATTTAAATTGTGACAATCATATAATATTTAATATTAACTTGACTTAGTCACTAAGTCTTAGTGTGTCTGGAAAACTGGTATAGGCTGCATCCAAAGATTTCCCTGAAGTTCCGTTTTCATCAAGGTATACATTTAAATTGTGACAATCACATAATATTTAATATTAACTTGACTTAGTGTGTCTGGCAAACTGGTATAGGCTGCATCCAAAGGTTTCCCTGAAGTTTCCTGTTTCATTGGTCCAGTGGAAATCTTGTAACTAAGTAGTCACTCAGTTCCACATCTCTTGCTGATAGGTCCAATCATTGCATGTTGATTTCTTGCTGGGCCCAGTGGGTAATAGGGGACCTGTCTCGCATGAGGGATTCTCTGTGGGCAGGGATGTAGTCCACAGCCTAGGCAGGACATGAGGTATTATTCTAAGCAGCCTCACAGTGGGCTGGCCCTGCAGCTTGGACAAAGCACAGAGATAGAGAAGTCAATCGCCTTCTGGCCGCCTGTTGGATTTGTGAGGCTCTGAAAAGGCCAATTTGCTGGGATTAACAGAGGTCTGGCTTAATAAATGCATCTGCTTGCCTAATAGATTGTGTAAATGAACCTTAAATACTTGATTTAATTTAACATTGGGCACTAGCTATCAGCGGCCCATAAGGAGCTCAAGGATCCTGTAGAGTGTTCCAGCTTTTCAAGGAAGGTGATAGCAGCCGTGATACCATAACAGCTGATGGAAAACGAAAGCAATTTGGAAAACAAAATGAGCTCCTGCCATTTTCCCAGCACAGGAGCCTGTGGCCTGCCACACTGCATGCTGCCTTTAGCACAGTCTCTTTGCTGTGGTGCAGGGCCCTGTGGGATGGTGGGATGCCATTCTCCTTCCTACTTCAGATGACATGTCCTTGTCCTGCTGCCCTGTGTCTTTGCTTGACCCCTGCATCTCCTAGGGAAGCAGCTATATGGGGGAAAGATCAAATCTGCTGGGGTAAGAGGGATTTCAGTCCCCTCAGAAAGAGATGGCATACCAAATACCTGGGTCTAAGATAAGAGGAGTGTGCAGAGAAAGGAGAGGGGGCCATGCAGAACACCAAGAGCTGAAGAAGATGGCATGGAGGTAGTGATGGCTCCCTGAAGACCCAACTTTTACGGGAGAAAAATATCCTGGTGGGAGAGATGGGAAGAGATGAGAGATCGCTGAGGGCAGTCACCAAAACGGAAGGGCAATGTAATATAGTCCTGGTCAGAGAGAGTAATCCATGGAATCAAGAAAAATGAAAACACATTGATTATTCTTTTTTGTTTCTTTCCCAATGTTTCATTATTAAAATCTTCAAATATACACTGAAGTCGAAATAATTTTATAGTGAACATCCATATACCCATCACCTGTAGTCTACCATTAGCATTTACTAAGCTTGTTTTATCATATGTCTATTGATCTGTCCATCTCTCTATCCATCTATTAATTAATATTAATTTTTGATCCATCTCAAAGTTAACTGCATACACTTATATACTTTGTCCTAAATGCTTTAGCTTGCAAGTCATTAACAATAATTCAATGTTCATTTACCCCCTCCCTATAGAGGTATAAAATGTACCAATAATTAAATGCATACATTTGAAGTATATACTCTCTGAGCTCTGACAAAGGCATTACCTGTAATCCAAACTTCTATCAAGATATGAAGTATTGCTGTCAATCCCAAAAGCTCTCTCATGTTTCTTCTCAGTCAACTCCCACTCCCAGTGCCCAGAACCACCACTATTTTTTTTTATCAGAGATTAGATTTGCTGGTTCTAGAACTTCATATAAATGATTCCATGAATATGAATTATTTTATAATAGGGGTTGGCATAAATAGGTTAATTTTTGAAAGTATGCAAAGCACAGCATTTATTCTTCTTTTATTATTTATCCTTATGTTCTGTATTTTATAGATGAACAGCTATAATTTACCTTTGCTAACCCCTGTATATGGTTTCTTTCACTTCTTATGGTTTTGAGATTCATGTATATTATTATATACATCAAAACTTGTTCTTTACTTTGGCTTCTTTATTTATTTTTCTACTGATAAATTCTCCTAGGCTGTTTTTAGTTTCTGGCTGTTATGAATATACTGCTATGAACATTTTGTTTGTTTCTTGACATATTTTCTTTTATCTTTTTTATCTTTATTGTTGAGAATATTACATATGTCCCCCTTTTTCCCCCATTGCCCCCTTCCACCCCATTCCCATCCCACCCCAGACTTTTACCACCCTATTGTATTTTCTTTTATGTTGATTAAATTTCCAAGAGGGAGATTTCTAAGTCATAAAATGTAAAAGAGTACTAGTACTTTACAAATAATTATTGCAATTTCTTGTAAAACTGAACTTTTTCTAAGGTGATGAAGCAGTTGAAGGTACTCTGGCAAATAAAACCCAATGGGTTGACCAGTAGGAAGTAGAAAGTGGGTCTAAAGCCATTTTGATGCTGAATGAGTCCTCACAGCTTTTCTAAACCAAGCCCTTCATTTAACAGATAAAAACTAAGGACCAGAATGGGAAGAAACTTCACCCAAGGTCATTCATTAAACCAGCCAGAGTTTAATATCTCTATTCTTGTTATGGGACAGGCGACCTGTTTTTCCCTTATTCTGCCACCATGGTTGATATTGCTTTGCTAAGCCCAACTTGACTTCAGCTTCATTTGCAACACAGGACACTAAACAGCCACTATTATCCCGTTGAAGAAGTACTTCACAGAACCTACTTGTACCTAAGTTGTTGTTTAATTCATAAGGCCACACCCTGGTGTGTATCATCATAGAGCCATAAGCATGGGGAAGAATGCTTGAACTCTATGCTTTACTCTTAGTTAAAGGAAAGACCATATCCCTTTCCATATTCAACTTCTCTCTTTCATTCTGCAAATAAAGAAGAAAGAGTGTCAAAAATTTAGAGCAACATCTTTAATCCTGCCAAACTCTAGCTATCATCCTGGTCATAAAATGGATCTATGGAATTTTAAAGCAAAAGAAATCAAATTATTATTTTAGAGGCCCAGCTGAAAATTCTGAGGTGGGAAGGAATCCCAGTCTTGCAGCAGGGATGCCCTCTGAAAGCTGCATCTCCGAGCCTCTGTGGGTCCTGGCCCACAGATCCAAGCCATGTTCAGTTGAGATGCATGCGTTTGCCGTGTGAGCACTGGCAGACAACCACCCCCTTCAAGGGCAGCTCTCTGCACCCCCAACATTATTATCCTCTATCCCAGTGTTGTCCTGGAACAGAGAGGAGAGGGAGTCTGCTCACCTCAGCTTGTCATATCTCTTTTGAGCTGCCTTGGAGAAGCCTCCTCCTGTTTCTTACCTTGCACACACCGGAGGACTTGACAGGGCGTGGACCTCAGCGTGGCCACTGAATAGCGACTCTTTAATCTTAAGATCTTCATTCTCTTCTCTCCAATAAGCATCTGATTTTATCAAGATCCGAATTCGCAAGGGGAAAATGTTATTCTGTTTCTCTTTTCATCCTAGGCAAATCCCCATCTGTTGTGAGAAGGAAGATAAAACAGAAAAAGAACAAAAGGATTTAAAAAATGGTCGCAGACCTATATGTGGATATGTTTTCTGCCTATTAAAAATATTGAAGTGGCTTGCAGTGAAAAGCACAGATGTAATAAAATAAAAAGCCAGTAGTATGCCTTGGCATCCAACTTACAGATACATTCTGCTCTATGGAAGATGGTGTGCCAAGGGCGGGTGATACAGAAGTTATTAAAATGCAATCACTTCTCTGAATAGTCTAGAGTTCATGGAAAACAGGATGAAGATACAAGTGACATGGAATATTGGAGGAGAGGAATGATCTCCTATTTCCAGAGCCAATAGGAATAGGTTGCAGAAGTCACTTTTCCTTTGCCCCAGGGGAAGGAATAGAATGACATGCAAAATCCAGGGTGTCCAGTTGTAGCTCCATCTCTCAGGAGTATAGTGCATTTAGACTTTATAAATACTCTTCTTGGATACTGGATATAAGGTATAATCACAGTTTGGGGAAGCTGTGTAATCTTCTTTTTTCCATTCTTAAGTGAGGATCCCCTGGGATATGTGAATGCTATGCAGATGTGTGACCATCTGAGATTTACAGGAAGGAGGAAATCTCATATCCCACAGAGGATTAAATTGGTCTTTCTGTTCCTTTTAGCCCCTCATCACTTTGGACAGCAGCATTTCCTTCACGTTCCTTGCAGAGGGAACCAACACCATCACTGTTCAGGTGGCCGCTGGGAACGCCCTCATCCAGGACACAAAAGACATCGCAGTTCATGGTAAGCCCTGAAAATAGTCATTGTGATGCCTCCTTCTACCCAGCCAATCCACCCTAGTGACAATTGCTGACTGCTTTGGAAATTCACCAGGCCATGGGAAAGTGATGTATGTCATTAAGGGGCATCCAAACTTTTTCCCTACCTTGTTCCTAAATAAATGCAGGGCACAGACAGGCATCCGTTGTCTTCTGGGATGTGTGTGCATCAAAACCTAATGGTCTCATTAGAGAGAGATTTACCGGAAGTTGAAATGAAACCTAACTGGAAAAAACTGTCAGGAAACCATCTAGATCTGGGGTCCTATTGAAGTATCTACAATACACATACAGCACCCACTCTTTGTGAAGATCAGGGCCAGTGATTTCAAAATGGGGGGTGTCATCTTATGGTCCCTGAGATGAGCTACATACAACCTATGTGTTATTGTTGTTTTATTGGTAGAGATTCTAACATCATTGGCTGCAAAGACGGAACATAAGGCTAAGAACGTAAGGTTGAAGGAAGGCAGAAGAGTGGTAAATGGGGCTACTATCCAGTCCTCAATCCTGGAGAACCATTCTTCATTTTTAAATTTATTTTAAGTAATTTTGTGCTTTTACCACAATCCCACACAACCTCCCTCAAGCCCCTAAAAACAGTCACTATTTCAAGGTTTTTCTAGAAAGTTGTACTAGCTCCTCTGACCTTTCTTATATCTCTTCCAAACACGATGTTCACGCTCTCTCATGGGGAACCAAGATGATTTTTTAAATTAAAACTTTTTATTTAAGTGTAAATATAATATAGGAAAGTATACATCATAATTGTCTTAGCTTTATGAATTGCCACAAAGTGAACGAAGCCTTGTACCCACCAACCAGGTAAAGTAGTTGAACATTACCTACACCCTAGATCCAGGGTATCAACATACTTTCTAGCCCCTGGAGGCAGTGCTAGCAGGATGGACAAAGGAAATGAAAGAAGAGCACAATATTCTCTCCTCATTAAGCCCAACTTAATGCTTTCTTGCTGGCTCTGCATGATACCACCTACAGTAGCAAAAGTCTTCTCCTGGGTTTTTATACTTATGTTTCATTTCAGGTAATATTCTTTTACAAGAAGGGCTTAAGATCTTAGGAACTAAGAAAAAAATGGTGGGAGCACAAATCTACTTCCAGTCATCAAATCCCACACTCTTTCAGAGACCAAGAAACAGGCTGGAGTGAAGGAATTACTAGTATAGTTGAGGCTACAAGAAAGAGCAGATGGTTTCTTTATAGTATGGTGATTGTGGAGTCTTCCCACCTATCACACCCTCTCTTGGTCTCACTCACTCACACACTCTCTCTCCTTGCAGAATACTTCCAGTCCCAGCTGTTATCATTCTCTCCTAACCTGGATTACCACAACCCTGACATTCCGGAGTGGAGACAAGATATTGGCAATGTCATCAAGAGAGCTTTAGTTAAAGTAAGTTGGCTTTATATTTGCTGGAATCTTTATGAATAAAGAGCCAGATGGTTTCCTCCACAACACATTTTCATGGGTTAAAACCTCCCATTTTATAGTTTGATTAGTATTTTCTCTAAAAAGAAAGAGAGGGAAAAATAGAAGGGGATATGAAATGATGGAGAGATGGTGGGTGGGGTGGAAGGGAAGACAAGGATGTTGAGCAAGTGGGAATGGGGAGTGTTTGCCTAATTGTAGGAGCAACCTTCCAAGTGATAGTTGATTTGCATCTTTATGGGTGATATTTTAAAATTACTAGAAGCCCCGTGCACAAAAATTTGTGCACTGGCGGGGGAGGTGGGGTGGGTGGTGGGTCCCTCAGCCCAACCTGTGCCCTCTCACAGTCTGGGACCCCTCGGGAGATAACCACCTGCTGGCTTAGGCCCGCTCCCCTGGTGACAGATGGCACACCCAATCCCGCGGTGTCTGCCCCATCTCCCCCAGTCCCAGATGGCAGGCCCGGATCCCGTGCTGGGGTGGGTGGAGGCTCTGGATCACGCTGCTGCCCGCCCTGGGCCACACACAGCAGGCCAGGATCTCACACTGGGGCAGCCAGCAGCTAAGGATTGAACTGCCGCCAGCCCAGGCGGGGCAGTGCAGCATGATTTGCCTGCAGTATGCAAATTAGCCGCCATCTTTGTTGGCAGTTGATTTGCATATTGCACTGATTAGCCCATGGGAGGTGTAGCGAAGGTACGGTCAATTACCGTCTTCCCACCTATCACACCCTCTCTTGGTCTCACTCACTCACACACTCTCTCTCCTTGCAGAATACTTCCAGTCCCAGCTGTTATCATTCTCTCCTAACCTGGATTACCACAACCCTGACATTCCGGAGTGGAGACAAGATATTGGCAATGTCATCAAGAGAGCTTTAGTTAAAGTAAGTTGGCTTTATATTTGCTGGAATCTTTATGAATAAAGAGCCAGATGGTTTCCTCCACAACACATTTACATGGGTTAAAACCTCCCATTTTATAGTTTGATTAGTATTTTCTCTAAAAATAAAGAGAGGGAAAAATAGAAGGGGATAAGAAATGATGGAGGGATGGTGGGTGGGGTGGAAGGGAAGAGAGGGAGATAGATAGATAGATAGATAGATAGATAGATAGATAGATAGATAGATAGATAGAGGTGCTTGAAGATGGAGATTGACCCCATATTTATCCCAAGTTTTTTTTCCAATATAGGAGCTTGATCCCTTTTATGAAATAACTAGAAGCCCAGTGCACAAAAATTTGTGCACTGGCAGGGGCGCTGTCTATTATTAGATAGGATAAGGACCACTCATTGAGTCTACACTGCTATCATTTACTTGGCTGACTTCATCTCCCTTCCTTCCCCGCCCCCACCCCACAAAGGGGTTTTCTTAATCAAACACTTGGACTCCAAGACCACTGTTAGCCATTAGAAGGCTACAGGCCAGGAAATAGAGCATGCCAGTAGATTGTATAGAGTTAAACAAAGTCAGATTTGCCTTAGAGAATATTGAAAGGGTTTTATGAACCCTTTGCTCAGAGCTAAGTACTACAATAAAATGAATAAAACATGGTCAGTTCTAACATGCAACTAGCTCTATGGTAGAGGCATACCAGCATATCAAAGAGCATGGAGAGAAGTGAGATTCACTTTATTCAGGAAAGTGCAGGCTTAGCACATATTGGTGATTCAATAAATACTTATGAACTATGAGAATGGTCTTTGGAGAATATACCTGGACTGTTTTAAAGGATAAGTAGTAGTTAACAATGGATGCTATCTTTCTGGAAGAATGAACAGCATGTGCGAAGCCATGGACTACTGAAAGAGCACAGTGTATTTGTAAATGGCAGTGTAGTATAGACCACAACCCTGACATTCCGGAGTGGAGACAAGATATTGGCAATGTCATCAAGAGAGCTTTAGTTAAAGTAAGTTGGCTTTATATTTGCTGGAATCTTTATGAATAAAGAGCCAGATGGTTTCCTCCACAACACATTTTCATGGGTTAAAACCTCCCATTTTATAGTTTGATTAGTATTTTCTCTAAAAAGAAAGAGAGGGAAAAATAGAAGGGGATATGAAATGATGGAGAGATGGTGGGTGGGGTGGAAGGGAAGAGAAGGAGATAGATAGATAGATAGATAGATAGATAGATAGATAGATAGATGATAGATAGAGGTGCTTGAAGATGGAGATTGGCCCCATATTTATCCCAAGTTTTTTTTTCCAATATAGGAGCTTGATCCTTTTTATGAAATAACTAGAAGCCTGGTGCACAAAAATGTGTGCACTGACATGGGGGGCGTCCCTCAGCCCAACCTGTGCCCTCTCACATTCTGGGACCCCTCAGGAGATAACCACCTGCTGGCTTAGGCCTGCTCCCCTGGTGGCAGGGGTGGGTGGAGGCTCTGGATCACGCTGCTGCCCGCCCTGGGCCACACACAGCAGGCCAGGATCTCACACTGGGGCAGCCAGCAGCTAAGGATTGAACTGCCGCCAGCCCAGGCGGGGCAGTGCAGCATGATTTGCCTGCAGTATGCAAATTAGCCGCCATCTTTGTTGGCAGTTGATTTGCATATTGCACTGATTAGCCCATGGGAGGTGTAGCGAAGGTACGGTCAATTACCATGTTTGTCTATTATTAGATAGGATAAGGACCACTCATTGAGTCTACACTGCTATCATTTACTTGGCTGACTTCATCTCCCTTCCTTCCCCGCCCCCACCCCACAAAGGGGTTTTCTTAATCAAACACTTGGACTCCAAGACCACTGTTAGCCATTAGAAGGCTACAGGCCAGGAAATAGAGCATGCCAGTAGATTGTATAGAGTTAAACAAAGTCAGATTTGCCTTAGAGAATATTGAAAGGGTTTTATGAACCCTTTGCTCAGAGCTAAGTACTACAATAAAATGAATAAAACATGGTCAGTTCTAACATGCAACTAGCTCTATGGTAGAGGCATACCAGCATATCAAAGAGCATGGAGAGAAGTGAGATTCACTTTATTCAGGAAAGTGCAGGCTTAGCACATATTGGTGATTCAATAAATACTTATGAACTATGAGAATGGTCTTTGGAGAATATACCTGGACTGTTTTAAAGGATAAGTAGTAGTTAACAATGGATGCTATCTTTCTGAAAGAATGAATAGCATGTGCAAAGCCATGGACTACTGAAAGAGCACAGTGCATTTGAAAATGGCAGAGTAGTGTAACCAGTCTTTAGGTTTTAAGGGCAAGTGTGGCTAATGTTGAGCTAGGATGGTTAAGTCAGTTTGTGAAGAGATTAGATAGCAGGGTATGGAAGGATCCAGAGATTTGGGGTTTTAAAGGGAGACTTTAGAAAAAGAAAATGATCCCTGAAGCACTTCAAAGTCATTTATTTTCCAGGGACCTCTTGCTTAGCCTGGAGTGCGCCCATTGTGTATAGTGTCCAATCTACTCTGCTATGTCTTTCCCACTTGAAGGCAGAGAATGGTCTCTGTTATAGGAAGCAAGACAATGACAAACTCATTTCCATATCTAAAGCCAGCTCTGAAATATCATACAATGACATTCTTAAGAGAACAAAAGAAGACTTCATCTGTTTCTGTGTCTATTTCCCTCCAACAATAACCAGGAGATACCACCTTTTGGAATATTCTCTTCACTTTTCCTTTTTCTACTTCTCTCCATTTCAAAGTTGTTAATGATTCATCACAGTGTTGTCGTTGATTTTTGCCTCCTATTTTTTCCCTCTGTTCCTTTAGCTTTCCTTGGTGTCTATGTTCCTTTCTTAATATTCTTTTTTCCTGGTGGTATATAGTGGCATTCTCTCCTTCATTCATCCTCCTTCACTGCCTTGACCCTCTTATCTGCTTTTCCAACACCCTCCACAACCTTCTTCTTTAACTTTCCTCAACTCGATTGTCCTGCCCTCAAAAGGAATTGGTTCCCCACAGATTGATTGCATTTATTTGCTGCTCTATTTCAGTTGGAAAAACAATGAAATGGAACAGCATTTTGTACAGTAGCTCCTAGGAGATTTTTCTGAACTCTCCTTAAAACCACTACTCATAATGGGCTTTATAAACTAGCACAGTTCAACAAATAATGAAGAAAAATGAAAACAAAAAAATCTTGCTGGTATTTCTTCTGGCAAGAATGACAACTGCCAATTATTGAAAATTAGTAACGAAAAGAGAAAAGACACTAAAGGTTAGAGATTAGGAGCTGTGGTTGTGCCTGGGCTCATTGCTCTTTCATCCTATATAATAAAAGCATAGTATGCAAATTGTCCCCTCAACCGGGAATTTGTCCAGGAGTTCAACCAGGGGGTGGGGCCCACAGGGGGAAGGGAGGAAGTACCTGGCTGGCAGCTGCTAGGGACCCTACCAGTGCTCAAATTTTGTGCACTGGGCCTCTAGTAAATAATAAAAGCCATGCCAGCTGATCCCTCAGTCTTAAATATCACAAAACAAATCACTCATATGTCTGTTTGGATGAGGTTAACTGACCTTAGACACATAACTCCAAGGTCCCTCCAGGGTCCCTAACTGACTGATGCTCCCCAAGACCATAGTTCCCTAGGGCAAAGGGTCACAGCAGCCACGGCACTCACAGGCACAGCCACTTCACTCCACTGGGTCCTCAGTCCAGTCCCTGGAGAGTTGCTTCCTCTGACTCGTTAGGATAAGACTTTCTTGCTCCATGTCCTTCAGTACCTAGGCCTCCAGCTACTCGGGGTCACACCTTTCAGTAAGACATGAGGCCTCTGGCAAAGCCCACTCAGGTCCCAAGGGGATGCCTCTCTTCTTGGTGGATATTTTAGGCCTCTGACTGCTGCTCATTACTTCTCCTCAAGTTGACCCTCTCACTTTTTGTTGTCACATTTCTGAGAGTTAACTCCAATCTCTACCCCAAGTTCTGGTGCTAATCAAATGGGAAACAACTAACCCCTCTAATTCTGTTCAATCCAGCAACTATTTATTGAGTTTCTACTCTGTCGGGCATTTTTCAAATGAATGGGGTGTCCACAAAACACCCCGGGAATGTCTCAGCAAACATACAATATAAAGTGACCAGAGAAAATACCATACAGGTGGATGCACTCATCTGTCACCATGGACATGATCTGAGTCCCAGTGATGGGGTGGGGTGGTGTTCTGGAAAGGGTTAGGACCAGAGGCTGAGATGCAGGAGATCACTTCCTGCAGAGCTAGTCAGGAGAGGAGGTGGGTATCTCCATCAAAACGAAAACTGTATTATCATATTTAGATTGGCACTAGAAGTATTGTTCTGGATAAAAGACATTTAGGAGAAAATAGTCAATCCTCTTTACAGGGGGAAAACTTGGAGTTTTGTTTTCTTCAAGAAATTGCTTTCAGACGGAAGCTTACTTTTAAGCTTGTATCATAAAGCAACATAATCCTTTTCCCAAACACTCAAGAAATAGAAAAAATTAACTCATCATCTCAGCATCTTAACATAACATTTAGTGTCTTGTTTTGCTTTTTAATTCCTATACATTTTTGTTTTTATAGAGTTGTAACCAAAGAAATAGAAGGAAATAGATTGGAATGCAGCTAGCATAAGTATTTCTCCATGTTGGCTTGGTACTAATTATCATCTTAATGGTAGAGTAATACTAACAGGTTGACGATATCATTTATTTCCTTAAATTTTTTCAAATGTTTGTGCTTTTTTCTACTTATTCACTATTATAAAGTTATGAGTGTTTCTTTCTTCATATGCCCCTTTTTTCCTATATTTGAGATCATTTCTGTAGGACAAACACCCCAAGTTACAGTTATTGAATGAAGGGTATGAAAATTTTTATGGCCTCCAAGTAAGTCTTTTGAAAACCAAATTGGCACAATATGTATCAATTTTTAGTGCTGCCAGCAACAAATGAGGGGACCTCTTAATTGAAGCCTCACCAATATTAGCTAGTTTAAGTTAATAAAAAATCCCGCTTTAGTAAGTGAAAACCAGTGCTGCTTTGCTTTTTTCTTTCATTTGCATTTCCCATGTTTGTTTATAACTTCTTATTTCTCATTTGCAGCCAGTCTGTTCATGTTTTAGCCAGAACTCTCTAAGTGCAGAAAAACAAAATATGGGGGGAGCTTTTGCAAATGTTCCTAGCAAACAATACTTTGAAAATCACTTATGATAGTATTTTAGCTTCAGTAAAAATGTAAGTCAGAGCAGAAGAGGCAGTGAAACTAAGCACTTCTAAGGGTCCAGGGAAAGAAAGGTTGGAGTCTATTGGAATCTGTGCCTGAAGTGCTGCATTTAAAAAAATATATAGAAGTCTTATAGCTCTGGCTAGGTTTTGCAGTTGTTTGGAGCTTCGTTCCCTACACCAAAAGATTGGGAGTTTGTTTCCAGGTCAGGGTACATACCTAGGTTTGGGGTTCAATTTCCATTTGGGGCACGGATGGTAGGCAACCAATCAATGTTTCTCTCATGCACCAATGTTTCTCTCTCTCCCATCTTCTCTCTCTAAATATCAATAAAAACATATCCTCAGGTCAGGATTAAATTTTTTTCAAAAACTGCACATATATAAGACATATCTGTGCATATTCTGCTCCTTGTTGTTGACTTGGGGAAGGCTGGGACCTCACTCTTTGGTCTCCGCATGCTTGCAGGTAACCAGTGTCCCGGAAGACCAGATCCTGGTTGCTGTGTTCCCTGGCCTCCCAACTTCAGCAGAGCTCTTTATCCTCCCCCCAAAGAACTTGACGGAGAGGCGGAAAGGCAATGAAGAGGACCTGGAACAAGTAAGTGAAAGCAAACTTGGCTAGAACACTTGCCTGTACCTCACATTCTAAGGGGACCCAAAGTTAATTTCAGCCTAAAAGGGAGACAGGGTCTCTCCCATTGGCCCATCAGCCTGTCACTCTTTCGCCAGTACTCAGAGCTTTGAAGAATAATCAGCCTAACCCCAAATCAACATAGATGCAGATAGACTGGAGCAATCAGCATCATTCCTTCCAACAGTTGCCAGTCCTTCAACTTGCTAAATATCTCCCCCCCGCACCCCATGACTTGTCCCAGAGGAGACGGATGTGGGTAATAAAGAGAGGAATTTGATTTTCTCTATTTCTTGTCTTTGAAAATCCCGGTCATCTAAGTTCTGCTTCTGGAGGGGACAGGAACTGCTTTGAACATGTTTCTTTGGAGAGAGACGGTTTGCCTCAGCTTGCTTTGACTAAGCTGCATTTCCCAATGAGATTGTGACTTACTGTCCTTACCAAAGGGGCATATAGTTCCTGTGATCTGCACACGGACCAGGAAATAAAGGAGTTGGCCAGTCCCGTGCTTCTCCCTCTCACTCCTGCTCCGTGGGGGTCTTGGTGTCTGTGATCTGCTTCCCCCTTCCCTGCCTCCCCAGATGCCAAGTCAAAGGTGAAAATAAGGGAGAATGAGGCTCCTAAAAATCGGCATGAATCAAACACATTTGCTCCCATATGAGGTAATCATTGTATAAACATCTTCCACGTCCTTCTGCTACTCACCTGGCCATCACCCCATCCCCACATCTATCCTCAGTCCTTCTCAAGCAGCATAGATGTCAACACAGTCATTTCTCTGGGAAATGAAGTTGATCCTTGCATTTCAGGGTGGCATAGTTAACTTGGCCCAAAATAAATTCAGCTTATGCATACATCACTTTTACAAGACCTCTTTATTCTGAAATAGCAAGTGGCATGTGTGAATTATATTTGGAAGCTACAATATCCATCCATTTAGATAAATAGGTAATTACAGTGACGAATAGCAGCTGTGGTATTAAGGCACGTACAGCGAGATAAGTGTTAGGGACAGCAGCCTAAGTCTGCCTGTGCTTCCATGTGGGAATTACAGAGTGATTAAATCGATGTTATGTGTTCTGAGACTTGCTGGGGAGAAGTAAAGAGGAAAAATTATCCCATAAAAAGGAGGCAGCTTCTGCTTTGATGTTTGCCTCCCATTGTCTCTAAGGGAGAAAACAACGCAGAGGAGTGGGCTGGGGTATACGTGTCTGCTTTAATCCTGGCAGGGACCTCTCTACCCTGTGGGTATTGCTTGATCAGATTAAAGAACTACTGATGGGTTGACTTTCTTTCATTGGACCCCACCACAGGTTTTTCTATGGTAAGTTAAAAGGCATGAATAAAAGAGCACTGAACTAGGAGTTGAATGAAACATCAATGTCTATTATCAACTTGAATCTGCTAGGAGACTTTGGACACAGCTTTCTGTCTCACTATCCTCTCCAGTCTAAGCAAATGATACCGACTACTGTTTTGGCTTCACAGGGCTCCGGGAGACCCAAATTGATAAAGATGTCCCAATAGCCTGTCCACTGATTTAACATGGTCATTTTCCTGCCTATGGACTCTGGTTTCTTCCTCCATGAGGGAGCATTGTCACATGTCACGCCTTCCCATGAAGCCTCTCTCTTTTTCCCCCCTAGATCGTGGAGATGCTGTTTAATGCTCTAAACCAAAACTTGGTCCAGTTTGAACTGAAGCCAGGGGTTCAAGTCATTGTGTATGTCACACAGCTGACGTTAGGTGAGTGCCTGTTGGGATTCAGGGGGAAGTGGGTATGGTGATCTGTTATCCTGGAGAGAAGAGGGAGGAGACAGTCAGCAAATACTTCTCCGTAAATGCCTGGAAAATGGCTTTGTGGCAGGGCTCTTTTGCGTGTTGAGTATTAAGGAAGATTAATTACATCTTTCTCAAGGCTTCCTGTTGAGGTGGCAAGAAGACTTTCTTAGAAGTGACCTTACTATTGAATCCCTGGATGATCTTGGAGAAAACCTACAATGTCTTTGGACCTTGAATTTTTTTAAAAATTTGAAACAGTCAGGATTATATTAGGCAGTCCTCAAACTCTCTAAGTTTCTGGGATTTTTGGATTCTATGAATGTTCATTGGGAGGCCAGATGAAATTACTTTCAAACTCCCTTCTATTTACAATGTAGAAGTTTAAGTTGAAACAGGGATCAACTCTAGTTGGTTGATTTGTAAAAGTAATAAAAGGAGGCATGTCCCTTTGGGCATCCACTGCTGGATCTCTGAGAGAGCCTAGTTGCTAAATGTCCCTTTTTGCTGTAAGAGTTTTCAGATGTGGAGATTCCAGATGTGCTCATCCAGCAATGTTTCACCAGAGCAGTGTAAAAGAAGAGACTGAAACATTGCAGCAGTGTTTAACCCAAAGTTCCCAATGAGCCAATTGTAATCGTGTTAACGGACACTCGGGCTAAGAGAAAGACTTTCACACCCTCCTTCTACTCCCCTTAACTGAACACACATTGCTCAGTTTATACCAAGAGCAGCAAATCTCTCCCAGAAGAGCAGAGGCATTAACTTTCCCAAAAAAGCTATGAAGGGGAATACAATTTTGTCATTGAAACTGGGGATCCTGTGCCCAGATAGCGTGCAGGTCAACCGGAGACTGGATATACAGTCGGAACCCAGCTGGCCTCCTTTCTCCAAAGGGTACTCGCTTTTCAGCTAATAGCTTCCAAGTGAACATGTTCTTCCCTCCTAGCTCCGTTGGTGGACTCCAGTGCTGGGCGCAGCAGCTCAGCCATGCTCATGCTCTTGTCGGTGGTGTTTGTTGGTCTGGCTGTGTTTCTGATCTACAAGTTTAAAAGGTATGTGCTGCTATCACTCAATTTTACTCTTGGGGCTAGATTCATGGAAGTTGATTCTTGCTGTAACTAACATCCCTAAACTCATCCTAACTATGTGATATTAATTCTCCTTGAAGCTCTATTGGGGAATGGGGAAAAGTGAGAATGGTTGAGGGTCAGGGAATAAATAAATTTAAAAATCTTAACTCTATCTAATTTATAACTATATTTCATATAACTATGAAATCAATTTATTTTCTTCAAAAGAAGTATAAGGAGTTTTCAAACCTCACCTAAAAATTTCTAAAATAAGGTCTCAAATATTCAGGATATCTTTTCTACAAGTTAACAACCATCCAGGGTAGATAAGTAGAGAAAATTCAGCTAAAATCTTGTATGCACAAGTACAAGAGCACACACACACATTTTCTTATTTTATGCAATAGCTATACAGTATCTCTATTTAAATTGGCGTGCTGAAAATATTTAACCTCAAAATATCCCCATCACTCCTTTCCTGTGTCTAAAGGGAAATTGATAAAAAAACAAACAAAAACAAACTATACATGTATTCAGAAATTATTTTTGAAGGCCACAAGAGGAGTGATATAATAGGATACTTATTAAAAACATGAAATTAAAATCAATAATTCTTTACCATTATTTAGATAATGTAATATTTCTACCAAGAGGTGGACTAGTTAAGAGTGTGAACTCTGAAATAAGACAGATCCAATTTTAACTTTTGCTACTTGTAACCTGGGACAATTAGATTTTCTCTCTAAGCTATTTTAGTTTTTTTCATCTATAAAAAAGTGCATAATACTTTATAGGCTTGCCATATAGTTCAACTGTAAATATCTATACCAAGTACATACTAAATAATCAACAAATCTATGTTATTATTATAGAGAACAAGGAACATGCCTTCCAAAGGTGCCTTCTGTGTCACAAACTGGCACATAAGAGGCTCACAAAAATATCACTGCTATAGAAATGTACTTCATAGGAATATCATCAGATGAGGTTTGAAAGCATACTTGGTCCTGTGAGTGTTTCTAGGTACTGAACACAATGATTTTAGATTTTGGAAGAGATCAGTGTTAGGTGCTTCCCACAATGATTTTAGATTTTGGAAGAGATCAGTGTTAAAGGTGCTTCAGTCTACTACTTCCCCAGAATATATATTCTGGGGAGAGGGAGAGAGAGATAGAAACATCAATGATCAGAGAGAATCATTGATTGGCTGCCTCCTGCACACCTCCCCCACTGGGGATCAAGCCCACAACCCCGGGCATGTGCCCTTGACCGGAATTGAACCCAGACCCTTCAGTCCTCAGGCTGATGCTCTATCCACTGAGCCAAACCAGCTAGGGCTCCCCAGCATCCTTCAGCACTCCTCTCATGTATATCTCAGGCTTTACAATATCAGTTTTACTCAATATCCATCTCAGCATTAGCCAAAACAGTAGGAATCTTCAGCACCACCAGAAAGGCAGAATGAGATTCCCCTTACTACTCAATTTGTAGAACAGGATGTGAGTTCATGTCCCCTTAAGGGAAGATGTGTCAGCCCGCCTGCATGTTCTCTTTGAAAATGGGGAAACCTCTTTAATATTGCAAGTAGAGAGAGCAAAGATTCAACATAGAAACAGTCTAGTCAAGACAATACCCATTTATGGATGTACTCCAGTGACATGCAAAGCACACTTTCGTTCATCCAAGGATTTGGTTGTGTGGAAGCCTGGTGGTTGCTGGGGCTTGAAGATCCACTATGCTACATTTGTTCTTCTGGCCCCTAGAACCCCATCATACCTGGTGCCAAGGGCCAATAGAAGTCCTGCAGAGAAGTACTTGTGTCAGATGTCTCCAAATTAAAGCAAGACTTATCCTATGACTTAGAAAGTTTTTTGTTCTCTTATAAATGCTGCTAAACTCCCTAGACAGCCAACTCATTAGTGTAGGCATCTCTAAATGCGTACACTTCAATACTCGGATCTATGCCAGGTAGTGCCGTCTCTGAATTATTCCCTTTATAGTCCTCAGATAGCAACCCACCCTTTCTATGCCCCTTACAGTGAATCATGCAGCCAAAGCGACATTTAATAAACACCAGACAAACTGGATAAACAGCAGAGTCAGCTAAGAGTTACCAATCAGCAGTTATTTATTTTTTTATATTTTTTTAGCCACCTTTTCTAGAAGTTTTCCTCCCAATGTTCAAGCCTTTGGTGGAGGTCTTGTTGGATCTTCTTTTATTTCTTTGGTTTCCGTTCCTCCTTATCACCTGGGACTCCAGTGATGGCTCTATGGAGGGTCAGGTTCTTACCCCTGAGTTCCAGAGTCTCCTTTGCTTCTTGCATTATTGTCCCAAAGAACTTTCTACAACGATGGAAATGCTCCATAATCTGTACTGTCCAACACAGTCATCACTAATATCATCGAGGAACTGAATTTTAAATTTTATTTAACTTTAGTTAATTTAAATTTACATAGCTACACCTGCTTAGTCAACACTTGGATAACACAGTGTAGGGAAAGGGCAATTCTGTTTTTGTTTCCAGATCCCTGGCCATGCTGAGTTTTCAGACCCAAAACTTTCTCCCTTTAACCACCAGCACGAACTCATTAAACCATGCATTCATTCAACAAACATCCATTGAGTGACTGCTGTGCGCCAGGGCACTGAATCACCATCTCAAGATCCCAAGTTTTCCCTTAACAAGGGAAGAAGAATAGAGTTACCATGAGCCCCAAGCTTCCTTTGAGTAAATATCACCCTGTCTCTCACATTTGATCTTATTCTTGTATAGAACTGATATTATCTGACATTTTAAGCAATATAATTAAAAATCATTATGAGATGACTTTTATTTCCTGAAAACTCTGCCTACGAAGACCTCCTTTCCATAATATAGATTCTTATTTTTTCTGATTATACAACAACACTTTTGTGCTTTTATATTTATTTCAGTACTTTTTTTTTTCAGTAAGGCTTTCATCATATCTGAAGCCTACTTCACTTTCTCTAAATTGTCTCCCAGGTGCTCCTAACACTTATCATAATTGAAGCAAACAAATAAAAACTCAAGTTTTTTAGAGGTCACTTGGGCTGATTCATCTTACTGCTCTTATTAAAATGTATATGAATGGGTAGCCCAAGAGATGCTTCTAAACCTACTTCCTATGTTTCTTTGTTGAGTTCAGTTTTGACTTAGGTTCTGAACATTCCTACAAGTGGCTGTGTTAAGAAATGAAAACTAATTTAACAATTTTTAACTGTTGAAAATAATAACAAAATTTATTTCCTTCCAACCATCTATTAAAAATGTTGAAAAAATCTGTTTTTAGAGACTGAAATAAAGTGGGCAAACTTTCTTAGGGCAAATTTATTCAAATTCTCACAGATATCATTTGGAGAGCAGGAAAGGGTGGGGTGAAGTTATATAGGCTTGTATGATCCAAAATGGTTTTTCTGCCCCCAGCACCTAATAAATATTACAGTTGATCCCAATGTTCATGAGTAATATGTACTTTTATGATTAAAGGAAATCTGAGTCACTAGGCTGCATTTCTATTTAGATGAGAAAGTAGGGGCCAGCATGAGTTTTTAATTGGACACATTTAGAGAGCCTGAGGTTCGCTGCCTCACATAATCTGTTCAGTCATGGTTCTTGTAAATTATCGTTAACTGGTTCAGACCAGTATGAGTCAGGAGGACATTTTCCTTAATTATGGAAAGCAGCCATTAAGGACATGAAAACTGAATGTAAAGAAAAGGTAGAAACTACCCATGTTTTAAGCTTATCTTTTGGATCTTTCCTTCTTGGACACCTTATTAAGTATCCCTACACTCTATACCCACTAATGATTGGAGTTGGGAGGAGAATGTAGAAGTTTGAAAATATTACTGGTTGGTGCCAAGACAACAGAGTGACTCTCCTTTAGAAAGGCACAGAATGTTCTGGATTGGGGTGGATGTCAGATGTCTCAAGTTTTGATAACATCTGTGCCAGTAATCAGCTTCATGAAATGTCTGTACAACAGTCCAATTTCCTCCTCATTTAATGAGGTAGAGAGATCTCTTCTAGATGTAGTATTCTATTTTTTTAATGTCATCATTTTGTCTGAGAGCATAATATGAAAGTAGAAAGAGCCCAGGATTTGAGGTCATTTATTTATTTATTCAACCAATTCTTATTGAATGTAAACCATGTGCCAAGTACTGTGCTAAGTTAAGTGTATAGCAGTAAAGATAAAAACACAGGCTGTATGAACATTGGGTTTTTAGTCTAGTTAGAAAGACAGAAAGCAAGTCAACAAACATTGCCTGTTACATCGCCCTAAACCAACACCCTATTCATTTATTTCATAGACACTGTCTCATTACATTTATAGGAGGAAAGGTTGGGTGATCAGGAGAGACCTCTTGGTAATGACATGTAGGCCCAGTTCTGAAAGACAGTATCATGAGAAGAGTAGGAGGTGTGTTGCAGACAGAGGGAGGCCCAGTTCTGAAAGACAGTATCATGAGAAGAGTAGAAGGAGGTGTGTTGCAGACAGAGGAAAAAGTTGCTTCAAAGTCCCCAAGATGGGGATGAGTTTGATGTATTAGAGTTTCACAACTTGAAGTTTAGGTCTCAGACCAGTGGCATCAGCATCCCCTGGGAGCATGGCAGAAATGCAGAATTTCAGCCCATCCTGTCCAGATCTATAGAGTCACAAATGGTTTGAGAAGCACTGTATTATAGGAATTCAAAGGAGGCTACAGAAGCTGGAAAACAGTGAGTCAGGAGATAATAGATGGGGTCAGGAGATGATTTCTTTGAGATTTTCACTGAAACCTGCCAGCTCCTCTAACCTCAAGCCTGTCTGCCTTGTAAACCCACTACTTCTGTGTCTTTGAAGGAAGTTAATTCGCTTCTTTTAATCTTTCCTTTAATCCTCTTTACAATCCTAAAAGGAAGCTAGTGTTATTCCTATTGAACAGATGAGGAAACTGACTATGGAAGTACTTAAGGTACTTAGCCTATGAATAGTGTTCTGGATAGAATAGCAATGGCTATATGTCCTGTATTTTGTAGCTTTTCATAAAGGAGACCAATTAAACTGATGCAACCTTAGGAAAAAATGTCTTTTTACACTGATATAACCTTATGAGTCTCAAAGTCCAGCTCCTTTAAACACATAATAATGGATACATGTTTTAAGGCTTTTAGTGTATACCCGATGGACGGCATTGCCCTTCTGTTTACACCTGCTTGGTTTTTACTACAGAAGAAGGTGCATTCCTTAGGGAGTTCTGTGGCTTACATGTCCCCTGGGCATCTGAGTCTCTGGCCTTATGTCTCTTGGCCTCATGACCCCAGTGTCTAAGTGAGCAGCCCCTCTTCCTGACTTTGGCCTGTCTTATTAAATAGCTTCTTTCCCCTGATTATCATTAAGGGTTTCCAAATATCCACTTTCACATGCCCTGTGATAATAATGTGATTTTGCTCCTGTGCATGTAGGAAAATCCCCTGGATTAACATCTATGCTCAAGTTCAACATGACAAGGAGCAGGAGATGATTGGGTCAGTGAGCCAAAGTGAAAACGCCCCCAAAATCACACTCAGTGAATTCACCGAGCCTGAGGAACTGCTGGACAAAGAGCTGGACACCCGGGTCATAGGTATGTGTGCTGTGTCCTCTGTCCTCTAGACACTAGATCAGCCAACCCACTGGGCCTGCACTTCAGATACTACTAGAACTGGCTACAATGACGTAGACATATTTGAAAATTTTCCCACCACCTCTGGCCCATCTGAAATTGGCAGAATTTTCCCCCTTAAAAGTAGATCAAGAGTAAGGAAGAGATGAGACCAACTATCCACCACTGTTGGACTTTTTCTTCTTTAGAGCAAAATAATCATATGTCCTAATTAATAATCACACATATAGGCTCTGGCATCAGATGGTCCCAGGTCCATTTTCTCGCTCAGCCAATCCTCTTGGTCTACCATCCTACTTGCTCTATGTGCCTCATGTTCCTCATCTGTGACATGGGAATAATAGTACCTACCTTCTGAGATTGTTGTGATAATGGAATGATATTACATCATTAGCACAATGCCTGCCACATAGTAGGTGTTCAGTGCATGTTGGCTATCACTATAGTTATTAGTAGAGTATAAGATGGCAAGGTATTGCTTCTACCTTGTGTGCTGATGTGGGGGGTGGCAAACATTAAATATAGAGGAGATGAGCCAGTGAGCTGATAGGATAGAATATCTAGGTGTCCTATGAAATAATACATATTAAGCACCTGTTCAAGGTGGCTTGGTATTTAGCAGGAAATAAAACAAAGACTCCTGCCCTGATGAAATTTACATCCTTCTCTCCCTCTGTCTTCTCTTCCCTGCAGGAGGCATTGCCACCATTGCAAACAGCGAAAGCACAAAGGAGATTCCCAACTGCACTAGTGTTTAATACCAACAAGCCACGTGGTCAACCATCTTTCTGACTTTTTATTTTTTATTATTGCTATTATTATGGGAAAAAATGAAAATGTCTTTTTTTACCCTTTGTTTACCAAGGGCCCCTTCATAAATATCAGGCAGATTTTAGCTTTGGGAGGCAAAAACATTCTTAACTGATTGAAATGAGATAAAAAAGAATAAATGGCTGTATTTGTGCTATGGGCAAAGTACGTATCTTCCCCCATAGCCTTCTTGCTTTATTCTGCAAGGACTCTCTTTTCCCTTGTGAGTCTCTATCTTTTTACTGTTAAAGTTGGGTTGGCTTTTCATTAACCTCCATCCCCCCAAATCACCAACAAACCCCCCACCAGCACACTTCCCTAAAAGGTAAACCATTTCCCAGTTAGATGTGCAGGAGGTTAGTTGGTGGGGAGTGGACATAACTGCAAGAAGCGTGCACACTTTTGTGAAAGAGGCCCTGCCTCGTGCATGTCAATAGTGAGGCTACCGATGGCTTATTGTATATAATTACAATGTAAATAGCTTTTTATTTCCTGAGAAATAATTTAATGTTTAGTAAAAAAGAAAACAGAAAAAAGAAAGACGCGTGTGTTGGCTTATGCACTCACCCTCAGAGCTGACCAACCCCCAGGCCTGGTTGATGTGTTGGGTTCTGGATGCTCTCCAGTTGTCTGTCACAATTAACTCTTGCATCTCTGTGTCCATGCCATAGCCGGTTTCTACTTATGTATATAAGGGGGGTGGGGGGGCTTCTTTGGGACAATTGGTAAAGGAAGGACTATAGTAACATTGTAGAACATGGAGTCTTATTGTTCCATCAGTGACATGGAAGAAGTTGCAAGATGAAGCCCACTGGAGACTTCAAACTGAGATCCAGATGGGCGTACAAGGGTTCCCTCCAAAAGGACAACATTGAGGATATCAGCCTGAGAAAATGCTCTTCTCTAAGGAAGCCAGGCAATGGATCTGAAAATAACAATGATTCTGCTTCCTGGTTGGATTCCAAAGAAATGTATAATGTTTATGGGGAATTATTGGGCTGTTCTTAGCTAAAGTTAGTCCTCTGGGCAGTAGGTGAAGCCCAGTGAGTGCCTCGTGGCATGGGAGGAGTTAGAGAGGTTGGGAGGGAGGTGGTATTTGTGGAATCATGAGTCCATGCAAATCCGGTGGGTCAAATAGGGGTCTAGTCTTTAATGATATTAGTCAAAGATGATTTTAGCAAAGCTGTGCTATTTGCTTGTCAGATATACACACCTTCCTTAAAGTCAAATGTCTGCCTTCAGTTCCCTTAAGATAGTTCTTGCCTCTGGAGTGAGTGGCTTCCAAGGCCAGCATTCTCTTTTCCAGCACCCCAGCCCTTTCACACATGTATACATGTCAGTTGTTTTCAGTAGGGTCACTTTAAGCCATGCTGTAAGCATTTTTATTTTATTTTATTTTATTTTCAGGCTCAGCCTGTGCACACTGTTTTAGAAAATGATATACTGTATATATATATGGGAGGAAAGGCTGAATTTTTTTCCCTGTTGATTTTTGTAGGATGTTGTTCACATTTCTCTCTGTGAGACCCTGAGAGAAAGTGATTCACAGAAATCTGACTGGCTGCAGCTTAGATCAGGATTAGGTGTATTTCTCAAGATCGTGCTTTTTTGTTTCAAGGGTTAAATGGGGCAGACAATTGCAATACTTGTACTACACACTGGACTACAAATGCATGAGTCATATCTATATATACAGTATATGTACATATACTGTTCTTGGTTTTATTGTTCCATTTGAATATTTCTACTGTATAAAAAAGACAGTGGTTTTGAAATTGTTGAAAATAAATGTATTTTTGTACATCAAAGCTACATATCTGAGATTTCTTTGGGCAGTTTTCTTTATCTATTGTAAATAAATGTATTTTTGTACATCAAAGCTACATATCTGTCTGAGATTTCTTTGGGCAGTTTTCTTTATCTATTGCATCAGCCAACTATTGCTGCAATAATGCTACATGGCAAAAAAATCTAGTAGCTTCTAAGAACAGATATTTATGCTCTGTTCTCAAGTCTTCAGGTTGGCTGTGGTTTGGCTGAGCTCAGTCTAGACTGACCGAGGTCTCCTGAGCTAGCTTGCATGCAGGCTTCAGTCTCTTCAGGTCTGCTCAGTGAGTTGTCATCATTCTGAGACCAGCAGCTCCCCAGGGTATGTTTTATTTCATGGTGAATTCCAGAATTCCAGGTGAGACCAGCAGAATACTCTATGTTCTAACATCTTGGCTCAAAATGGTCACTCTATTTACCTGTCACCTACTTTCCATTGACTAAAGAAAACTACATGGTCATGGCCAACGTCAATGATCCAGGGAAATAGACTCTGCCTACTGTGGTGTAAGCCACTCCTAAGTTACATGACAAATGGTGTGGCTTTATAATTCCAGTTGACAGAGGGCATGGGAAATTGATAACAATAGTTTAATCTACTGAATCACTTTCTATGATCCCTCATTTTTCCTGAGCTCTTATTAGATGAACTATTTGAATCAGTATCCAATTTTCCCATCCCAATGTTTGTGGCCAGGATTTATGAGCAGATGTCTGGGTATCTATATGGACTTTGAGTCTGACCTCAGGTCCCAGTGAGTGGTAGAGGTGTAGCACCAACTCATGTCTTGAAGATTTCAGCAGAAAACATAAAAACAGGAGAGGAAATCAATAAGACATTTCTTCTCCCCCCACCCTCCACCCTCGCTTTTATATGCTGGTTTCTGTTTATTTGTTTTGCTTTGTGTGTGTGTGTGTGTGTGTGTGTGTGTTTATTATTTAGGAGCATGCTGTTTGATGCATCACAACAGTAATGAATCTCTTGCCCAGCGCTGAGTAGGAATTTGGAAGGGTAAGTGAGTGGCTCGTCCCCACATTAGGTAATAAGGAAACGTGAACTAAGTATCTAGAATAATGGCTATACGTTGGATGTTTTAGCATTTATAGTGTTGAAAATATGTGATAAATTTCCGTGGATCAAAGATACCCAAGAAACCAGAATGCTTTGGTCAATAATTTGCTTCCATATTTTAGATACTAACTAGCTATTCTGGAATCATAGGTTCTAAACTCAAATTGAAGATGTAGGATTGAACAAAGGTAGGCTCTTTTTTATTTGCAATGTATTAAAAGTTATTCTTAGTAAAACTTTTCTTTAGTTATATTTACTTTTTAACAAATATGCTTCCTCAAATATTGAGAAGTTACATTATGGTACCTCTGAAAGAAGTAACAGTGGCTTTTTTTCAGTCTCACTAGTGGTTCATACTTAAAGTGCCTGCAAATCTTTAAGGGGTTTTTTAATGGTCTTGAGCTTCCCAAATAAAGTAAAATGTCTAATATTCTTGCATTCTCTAAATGTATTAGTTTTTGCTTTCCAGTGGTATCTGAGTTTTTTCCATGTTAAATTTATGTCAGATTGATAAAATCGCTCCACCAGGTTAAAAGGGACAAAAAAGACATAAAGTGGTAAAACAGTAGGAGATCATTGGTTCATTCAGGCTGAGTCATGCTAAGAATATAGCCTCTGTATCCACCACCAAGTTATCTCAGATTTATCAGTACTAGACGGGCAAAGGCTGATGGCAAAGGGTGTCCTTGACTTGTAGCTGCTTCTATGTTGGGTTTCTCACAAGCAGTGAGGACATGCTTTGCTTTAGAATTGTCTTCTCTAAGGCAATCAGAGAGCTTAGAAGTAAGCCCTCAGAAGCACTCCACGCTGGAGCCCAGCTATCAGCACCATAGGCAGGTTCTCGGGGATTCTCATGTGCACTGATGGTTGAGAAGAATTGCTGTATCTGCCACAAAATAGTTCAGGGAGTGTTACTGGGGAAAGTCACCTGCCCTGGCTCCTGTTACCATGATACACAGCATCTTAATTGTCAGAAGTGAGAACCACTTCCAAATGTATTCATTTCCTTCTGGGCAACAGCTGCAACTCTGAGAGAGTGACTTAATTGAGTTATCTGAAACAAAAACACACTACGAAGAAGGTGGTGATGGATTGGGCCTACGAAAGAATATTAAGCCAGGAATTAGGAGATCTCTGACTTTCAGCAGGTCATCTGGACCACAGTTTCCTGGTTTGTAAAAGGAATACACTTTATGGCCTGCCCACTGGCTAGTGTTGCTTTCCAGAGATTGCTGAGCGATGACTAGGATGGGCAGTACGTGGAGAACCCTCTTCTCCTGTAGCGGAATATCCTGAGACTCAGAGAGGAAAGTGACTTCCCGAAGGTTGCACAGAAAATGAGTGCAGAGCTGAAGCTGGAATCCAAGTCTTCTTTCCGCCACACAGCTCCCTAATAAGTGCAAAGCGGATTAAACTGCAGATCATTGAGCGTCGGTAGGGAGCCCAATGGATATGCCAATATGGCTCCTGTTTATAATGTCTAGAAAGGTTGAGATTCTAACTTGCCAAGTGTGCTTATCATTCGGTGGCTTACAGAACCTCTGTATGCTGGTGCCCTGCGGACACACTTGTTTAGCAGCCATGGCTTGAACTGAAGTTAGGCTGCTCAACAGACAGCCGCCAGGCCCCAGCTTCACATGCTGTCATGCTTGCCTTTTAGAGTGGTTGGCCTTATTCAGGAGGAAGAAGGCCAGAGAGCAAACATAGGCAATAGGGAAGCCTCATCCTGACACACACATCGTATCCAGCCAAATTCTCTTGTCTGCTCCAATCATACTGCCAAAGGAGACCAGATGTAGTCCAACCTTGGCCTTTCAAAGCACCATGGCATCATGATGTCCCTGAAACTTACAGTAGTTACCATGTGCAGTCACCGAGTGCCCTTTAAAATAGGAGAGCCTGGCCAGAGTTCAATTCAATCAGAGACTGAGAGTCTCAATAAAACTTGGATCCATTACTTTTAATTATCTGAGGCCCAGAGGGGTACAATACCATAATCAGGGCCCAGTTTCCCTAGCTATAAATTGACAATAAGGGCATCTATCTCACAGGGTTGGATCTCAGATCAAATGAGATAATGTGGGTAAACACACACAGTGAGTAGGGCTTGACTAATACTGAATAGAATCTGAGGGATTCTAGTTTTGACAGGGTGGATCCTTTTCCTCTCCGCGCCCCCCACCGCAGCCTCAAGTTGTAAAAATGATCTGAACCGTCTCCCACCTAGGGCTGTATTCCCAGGGAAAGAATTCAGAATTACCTGGGGAGACATACCATCTCCCCCAGCTCCCTTTCAGATGGAAGATAATTTTGCTTAAAACTTAACTATTAACACCTTAATTCCAAAATTCACTGCTGCTTTTAGTGTGTGTGTGTGTGTGTGTGTGTGTGTGTGTAGTATTTTTTAATACAACTGATTTAATTTGCCTTGAACCATTTGGAAGGGATAAGGAATGGATGCTTCTAATCAGGGCTGCCAGAATGCCTCATAAAATTAGACTGGAGGCTCTCAGGTTCTGAAACAGGTTCACTATTGCCAAATGCAGTGCAACCCTGAAGGTAGCCATGCTACAGGGACAGAAACACCTTGGCCTTGCTTCTTGATGGGTTTGGGCTCCAATATTTAGAACTTGTTTCTTAGTTACTCTTCCTTCTCATACAATGCTCTTGTGATGAGGTGCACAGTGTCAGGTCCTGGGGTCCCTCAGAGCCTCACTGAGCATCATTGACCCAAGTTACTTCATCTTCACCCTTTGAAACATTCAGATGAAACAGCTATTTGGAAGTCTAGAACGTTTATAGATCCGGAGGTACCAAGGACATGGTTTCTTGCCTTCAATTCTGGTCACAGCTTCAGGAGAGCCCCTTCAGAGTGTGAGCACAGGATGTAGATTCTTTTCTAATGTCAGGAAAGACAGAGGAAAATAGATCATGACAGGCACGCATGCCATCTGTCACTGCAGCTGAGTCTCTGGGGAAAGGTGCTGTTTGCAGCTATTACAAATGAACCAGCTAAAGCGGGGCCTTCGGTAATTTGCTCTTGAGAAAGTATGTGGTCTGGTCCCTGAGGGACAGACACTTCCTCAGCTGAAACGTCTGTGTCCAAAGTGTCCCTGTGTGCTGAAGGCTGGTGGGCTCCAGGGATCTCTCCCTACCAAGAAAGCCCTACGTCTCCTCCCGGAGCCTCTCCCAGAGCTCTTCTTATGCTGCAGGGTCTTTTGTTCTTATTCTCCCTTGCAAAGGGTTATGGCTGTCACTCTTCCAAGAACTGGCTGCCGTTAACGTTTTGCACAGGCATGGTGGACAGGGAGAGAAAGGGGGCTATGCAGATGCAACAGAGGCGGAGTAGAATTGTTTCTCTTATCATTAATCTGCCTTTCTCAGTTTCTAGATAAAATCACCTGGGAAGCACATCACTGTCTCCATAAACAACACACCCGGTCCTGCAGCCCCTGAATGGTTTTCTTGCACTGACCTTCCAAAATCTTATGGTTCAATTAGAGAATTTCTGGGCTTCTTCCATTGGCAGCTGGGGCATTCTGAGGGAGGAGAGCCAACGGAAGAAGAGAGGAGAGATGAGCCTAGAGAACTAAAGCTGAGTTTTGTTCATTACAAAGCTCTACTTGATATATTCTCATTTCAACCTGTCAGTTTCACATTCTCCTCTGTGAGGGGAAAATGCAGATGCTCCCAGATTTCTAATCTATTTATAATGGTAACAAGACAACTCCAGGCAGCATGTACGCATCATGAGCTAATCATGATATGATATGCCTCGTGCCTCCTAATTAGTGGCATGATGGAGGCCTACTGATCAACTTGGAGCCTCAACCAGCATTGGGGATGGGGGGAGTAGAGCCCAGTGGAGCTCAGATCTTGGCAGACTTTCCAACAGTAGGTGGACTTCACACCT